AAAAAAAAAAAAAAGTGGAAGAGGAATATGAACTAACCATCTAAGTACAAGGAGCACAGATCCACCTCAATTTATGAAGGGGATATGTCCCTTTATGAGTTGAAAATATCATCAGTCAAAAATGCATTTAAGCTGGGCATGGTGGCACAGGCCTGTAATACTGGCACTTGGGAGGCTGAGGCACAAGGTTCACCAAGGCCAGACTGAACTACATGGCAAGATCCTGTCTCAAAAACCCAAAAAATAAAAGTATTTAATACACCTAATCTACCAAACATCATAGCTTACCACACAGCACATTGTACAGTATCAGTTGCTTTCCCTCCTATTGTACAGCTGACTGGGAGCTGTGGCTCACTGCTCAGCACTGAGAGGGAATATCACACCACATATCACTAGTTTGGGAAAAGATCAAAATTCAAAGTATAGTTTCCTCTGTGAATGCATAGCACTTTTGCACTACTGTAAAGTCAAAGAATTCTAAGTCAAAATTTATGACTATAATTCTAGTCAAAATTCTAAGTCAAAATTCTAAGGAACATCTGTATTAGGAAAAGGGTCACTTTGGCAAGAAGGTAGGTTAGGATGAGGTCTTACTTGGTATCAGAATTTGATATAATTTCGGTCACACTGTAGGAGTTGGCTGCAACTACTCTGTATTTTTTGTCTCTTGAACTTTGGTCGTGAAATTTAAAAATTAAAGACCCTGAGCTCTTCAGGATCTTAGAGAATCTAGGAAGGAAGTAGGGCTGACAGTTAGAAGCAAATTTACTGTCCCACATAGATGGCGTTCTTGGTAGAGGTCTGAAGGCAGCACACCTCGTCTTTCTTACCAGGCCCTGAAGACAGCTTCCTCTGGGTTACTCGCCTAGTCCTGGCAGGTTTTCTACACAAGAAAAAGAAGTGCAAGGTGGTCTTTGAGTACCCTGTTGACAACCCTTGAAACATTTTCCTTAAAATGTTATTAACATGTCTGATGAGGATCAAAAATTTAAAGGCTAAAATATCAATCTCTTTTAATTAATTTTATTATTTTGCAGTATTGGGAATTGAACCCAGGGATACTCTACCACTGAGCTATATAACCTAGCCCATTACATTTCTTACTTTGAGACAGGGTCTTACTAAGTTGCCCAGGCTGGCCTCTTAACTTGCTGTCCTCCTGCCTCAGCCTCCCAAGTACCTGGGATTATAGGCGTGTGCTACCACTCTCAGCTTCACATCTTGTTGAAAGCAGATTGTAATAATCTTTCTGATGCCAGCTGCCTGTACTGCCTGTGTTGACTAAATGAATGCAAGAGCAAACCCCCTTTCACTCTTTTACTCTTTCTTCTGTCAAGTACTCTGAATTTCAGGTGGTACCACCCATACAAAGCTGATGTGATACTGAAGTTGAGTGAGAGAGCATTTCCCATTGCTAGGCCCTATCCTTGGCACTTTGCCATGTATTAGTTCAATCAATCTATAAAACATGCTTAAAAGATGGATGCCATTATTTTTATTTTTATTTTTTAGGTACCGGGGATTGAACTCGGGTCCTTGTGCTTGTGCGGCAGGTGGCAAAACCACTGAGCTAAGTCCCTGGCCCAATGGATGCCATTATTATACACAATTTCCAAGAGAGGAACTGAGGCATAAAAAAATGATTTATCCCAGGTCACTTAGCAAGTGGCAGAGCCCGGATATTAATTCACATAGTAAAGTTCCAGAGCCAGCACTTTACTACTAGAGACAGTATCAGCAAGATAGGAAAGGCAGTTTTCAGTGATCACCAGGATGCACTTTCACACTGTTCAACCCTAGCCCCTAAAACCAGGCCAAGAGGGGCGAAAAAGTGCAGTATATATCACCAGCCATTGGTCAGTTTCTCCCAACTCTCTTCTGTCACCTAATCTACCTTAATCTTTGGCATTCTTTCTCCTTTTCTTTTATAGTCTTCATTTGCTGCTGTCTCTCTTTCCTGTATTGAATTCTTCTATATTTTGAGGGCAGTACAGGTTCTTCTAGCTATAAGTGTAAACAGGGCTTGGTCAGCAATTTCATTTTGCATTTGGTTAACAAGCTCCACAGGGTCAAGGCAACAGTGCACTTCACCTATCAGCCCCTGTGATGGAATAAAAGGGAGCACCCAGTATCAAAGTTAGTAATAGCCAATAACTCTTAGATTGTACCAAGAACTGTTTCAGGCACTTTATATGTGTTTACACATAAAACCACCACATTAGGTACCATTATCATCTCTATTTTCAAGATGAGGACACTGAGGCTTGGAGAAGTAAATATCTTGCCTAAGCAAAGGCTAGAGTTAGTGATACAAGTGGTATTTGAACCCAAGTAGCCAATGCCAACATTAACTCCTGCACTTTATACTGCTCTCATACAGCCGTGTAAGAACTTGCAACCATTGCTTGGTCTAGTTAAATGGTTTGTTTCTACTAAATGCATGAGACGACCACTCTGGTAAAAGCCAACTTTTGCACCTAGGTGTTAAATGTCTTAATTCTACACAGGTAGTTCTTTCCTAGGAAAAGGAGCCTTTGAGATTTTGGCTGCCTAAAAGCAACAATTTCTTCTAGTGAGAGATAAGAAGTAACACTGACAAATTGACCCCTTAGCTTCTATCGCTTCTTTTTACCCAGCTCAGGCAATCACTGAAGTTTGGCTTGTTCCCAACTTTTGTCTACATCTGAGCTGAGGAAAATACCCCAAAGTGGCTATGACACCTTGCCTTGCCACTCCTCCAGCCACTAATGTTAGCAGATTACAGTTACAGTTTTCATTGGTCACAAGTAAATCCTTAAAGGTGAAAACGGGCAAAAGAAATCGAGTCCACTCCTATGAAAGGAGGACTATCTCTAGTCAGGGAAAGGAAGAACTTTTTTTGGGAGAACTGGGTGAATTAGGTCACTTCAGAGACGTGTACTCCTGTCCCCACAGCCTTGGATCAAGGTTGGGGATCATGAGTCTCTTTAGGGACTTTCAACTATTCTGCATGACTATGACTACTAAAGCAATTAGCTACTCAGAAAACCAAGGTTAGCCACCCTTCTCTTTCTTGGAAGATGCTTGCTCCATCTCCTCTTCCAAACTGAGTTTGCAGGTGCAGAACTGACATGTGTTGCCACCTTAACAAAAGTGCTGAACAGGCCGAAGAGAGAGAAGGGCGCATTGCAGCTGACCGCTGACAGTTGTGGGGGCTCCTGACGACCTGGCAATAGAAATAAACCTTCAAACTTTAACTGCATCGCAGGCCCACGACGTTTCTTGAGCAGGATTCTGCGCACACGAGTAGTTACAAGATGCAACCCTCTTCATACACATTTGAGGAACGAGTTCTGTGATTTCCTAACCTGCTCCCTCCAAACGCTTACCAAGTTGTTTCACTGGATAAATGCAGGGCAGATGCTTGTTTATGATATTAAAAATAAAGGAAGGTGTTCGGCCCCGCCGCCGCCGCGAATTAACAAAGATATATTTGGAAAATACGTGCTGCTGCGGCCACAATCGTCCCCGGAAGTAACAGCCGGAGAACGGGTTCAAGGAGCATCCCGCGCAGCCCAGACCAGGCTCATGTCGCGCCCGCGGAACCAGGCCGGAGACGTCTCCGCCACTCGCTCCGCAAGGCAGCGCACTGGCCGCCGCTCCCGGCCCGGGCTACCCAGCTGTCGCTGAGGGCGCCGCTGTCTGGGAGTTTTATTCGTTGTCACAAGCCGTGAGAGCTACCTCACGGGCGGCCGCCCCGCGCGGTGACTGCGCTTACAGACCAAGGAGGTGAGCGCGCAAACCGGGACTGGGGCACGCGCATCGCGTCCCACTAGCATCACAGCAATAGCAACCGTTGGTAGAACGAGACCGCTAACGTCCACGCTCCCGCCCCGCCCTACCCCCTCCCTGGCGCATGCGCGCCTGCCTCCGAGCGCCCGAACGCATCCGCAGTCGGGGGCGGAAGTCGAGCCCAGGGGCGGAAGTCGAGCCCAGGGGCGGGGCTGTCGCGCAGTGGTGACGTTCTACCGTCGCGGGCGGTTGACGCGCGGGGCCCGTTGTCTGTGTGTGGGGCTGAGGGGCCCCGGGAGCAGTGGGGGCTCCCGGCGGGGGTGGCGGGGGTTTGGAAGGGCCTGGACATGGCGCTGAGGGGCCGCCCCGCGGGAAGATGAATAAAGGCTGGCTGGAGCTGGAGAGCGACCCGGGTGAGGAGGGGGCTGGGCGGGCCAGGGGCTGGGGGGCCTGATGGGCCTGGGGCGCGCCTGATTGACCACCCCCCTCTTGTCCCCCAACCCAGGCCTCTTCACCCTCCTGGTGGAAGATTTCGGTAAGAGCCTCCTGCCCGCCGAAATGGGGCTGTGGGGGTTCTTCCTGTGCCCTGGCTGCAGGGCCAGGGGCTGCCCTTCCCGACCTCTCTCGTTTCCCGATCGCAGGTGTCAAAGGTGTGCAGGTGGAGGAGATCTATGACCTCCAGAGCAAATGCCAGGGGTGAGTGGCTGGGCCTCGCCTTTACGCCCAGAAGAATGGGGACGGGCAGGGGAAGAGTGCCCTCAAGGGAGGCAGTGTCTGGACACCCAGGTTGTGATATGTCACAGAGGAATGATCCTTCCTCTCTGAGTGCCCTGCTAATCACCTGATTTTTGTTTTCTCCCAGTTTTTCCTCAGCACTTCAGTTTTGGTAGTGGCCCTCCCCTCAACCACCCTTGGGGTACATTTTAGCTACCTTTGCTAGTCTTGCAGCAGGAAACCCTAGGTCACACAGTGCCTTCTGTGCAACTGGGTAATTCTTGAATTATATGCCCATGTTTGCTGTGGCCTTAATCCCCACCCAAAAGTTGTACTGTATTGATTGATTGGTGTGACAAGACCCTTCCCAGGTGCCCAAACTCAGGTTCTTGTCCAGGCAGTTCTGCAGAATAGAACTGGAGAGACTGCCACAGTGACTGAACTCAGTGAATGACTTCATTTTTTGGGAAAAGAAGGCATGAGTGTGGGTGCTCATTTGTTTCTATGGCTTTATTGGAGCTCAGGCCTTGGCTCCACAAGTGAGAGTTAGTGCTTAAATGCCTCCTCAGAGCTTTTGTTCTTGTTTGTTTGTTTGTTTTTTGGTACTGGGGATCGAACTCAGGTCCTTGCGCTTGTGAGGCAGGTGGCAGAACCACTGAGCTAAATCCCCGGCCCAACCCAGAGCTTTTGTTCTTATTTTGTATTTCTGTCTTGAACCATGTGTTCTCGTTTTGCTTTTTTTTTTTTTTCAATCTTATTCAGAACCATAGACTACATAGGGAGAGTGAGTGGACTCCTGGAGCACCACACCCAGAAGCTGATATTTGATTCTGCCTGTGGGGGCTAAGGGCTAAGGGCCACACTGGATACCGTACTGAGAAGAAGCCAGGGAGAGGTGGCATCATGGCAGGAGCCCCTGAGTGATGACATGGTACACAGTAATAGGGGAAGAAAGAAGAAGATGCTGGGCCGGGGATTTAACTCAGTGGTTTCGCTGCCTGCTGCGAAAGTGCAAGGACCTAAGTTCGATCCCTGGTACCAAAAAAAAAAAAAAAAAAGAAGAAGATGCTGATAGCCTTTTGCCCTTACTTCTCTAGCCCTGTATATGGATTCATCTTCTTGTTCAAATGGATCGAAGAACGCAGGTCCCGTCGCAAGGTCTCTACCTTGGTGGATGATACATCTGTGATCGATGACGATATTGTGAATAATATGTTCTTTGCCCACCAGGTATGTTGGGTTCCATGCTTGTTGGCGGGTGGGATGCTGCTGTTGTTTTTTTTTTTTTTTTTTCCCGCTTGGGAAGTGGAAGTGAGGAAGGCAGGAGGAGGAGATAGGAATATACCAAAGGTGATGATTATAGAAACTTCTTGGCAGAAGGAACCCAGTTCTCACTAAAGGAAACATCTTTAGCATAGGGTGGCATCTCAGTTCACTCTCCATGTCCCCAGACACTTGCTGAATGTTTAGTTGGTACATGTCAGATGAACAGATGTTGGGTGAGGATGACAAAAGCCGAGGAGGGTTCCTGTCCAGATATGACTCCCTGTCTCAAAACCCATTCCCAATGAATATGGGATTGGAGGAGCTTGGGTGAAGGATTCTGCATATGGGTGACTAGTCTTGGTTTCACAGCTGATCCCCAACTCCTGTGCCACTCATGCCTTGCTAAGCGTCCTACTGAACTGCAGCAATGTGGACCTAGGGCCTACCCTGAGTCGCATGAAGGATTTCACCAAAGGCTTCAGCCCTGAGGTAGGTTGCAGTGCCTTAATCCTGACTGACATCTGGCTGGGCAGATCTGATCCTCAGGCCCATTGGTAATACCACCACATGGTACTTGGTACTGTTTGGCTATTTCTTTTTCAAATGCCCATTAACATTACATTTGACCCATAATTAATTGTGTAAGGCAATTGGTTTTAGGCTCAATTGTCAGGAGAGGAGATAGACCTAGGGAAGGAAGAGATTTAAGTTACACTGTCACAGTCTTCTCAGTTGGGACTTTTTCTGTCAGGTAGTATTGCTTCCTGTTTTCCATGGATAACTGCAAGGCCAGAACAGACCATCTCTTTGGGGCACTAGAGCTGTTTTCTCTCCCCTTGGAGCCCCTTAGGAAAGTTTGTCTGTGCTGCTTCAAATTCCTGGAATGCCTCCAGGCTTGCTTGGAGCTTTACTCCCCCACCCAGAGGCCCACCTGAGGAGGTCTTCTGATGTGGTTTTATTTTTCCCCTTAGAGCAAAGGATATGCAATTGGCAATGCCCCAGAGTTGGCCAAGGCACACAATAGCCATGCCAGGTAGGTAGGAGCCATGGTGGCCAATATGGAGTGGGGTAGGGAAAAATGTCTTTTTTGGGGGCCCTGACTTTGTATTTCCCCAGGCCTGAGCCACGTCATCTCCCTGAGAAGCAGAATGGCCTTAGTGCAGTGCGGACCATGGAAGCGTTCCACTTTGTCAGCTATGTGCCTATCACAGGCCGGCTCTTTGAGCTGGATGGACTGAAGGTCTACCCTATTGACCATGGTAGGCACCTGAGTTAGGCACCTGTTGGGTTTCTTGTTTACTTTCTGAGTGCCTGGAGCTTAAGGCCCTCAGGTGCTTGGGACCCAGTGATAGAGGGTGGGGTTTATATTGGAGACGTCTAAGTCTGGCCAGGATTTTACTCTATACTACATTGCCTGACCAGCTCATGACTGCCTGGCTCAACCACACTTCTCTCTCTAACTTCCCACCCTTGACCTGCTCAAACTCATAGTTTTCCACTTGCTGATTCCTCATCTTGATCTCTCCTAGGGCCCTGGGGGGAAGATGAGGAATGGACAGACAAAGCCCGGCGTGTCATCATGGAGCGTATTGGCCTCGCTACTGCAGGGTAAGGGCCCTGAGCCTATCCTACTCTGTCCTTATAGAAAGACCAGGTGATTCATAAATTGCCAGGCCATGTGGTTAATCTTCCAAGATCAGACTTAGATCTTGGACTTCTGTCTCCTTGCCTTATTTCCTGCCTGGGCTCCCTGTGGCCTACCCTGAGATGAGCTGAAGGGGACGGGTAGGCCTTGCTGGGTCTCTAGGTGGCCCACGTGTGCTGGCTCACTTCCTGACAGGCTCCTCTCACAGCTCATTGGAATGTACCAGGTCAGGTGCCTGGTGTACCTGGCCAGCAGCTGCCCACCTTTTGGGGTTGGGTCTATCCCTACGGCTGCAAGTATAACTACATGGAGCCCTGCCAGGATATCTGCTTCAACCTGATGGTGGGCCTGGGGTGGGAGCTGCTCTCATGGCTGCGGTTGTGACTGCAGGGAGCCCTACCACGACATCCGCTTCAACCTGATGGCAGTGGTGCCCGACCGCAGGATCAAGTATGAGGCCAGGCTGCATGTGCTGAAGGTGAACCGTCAGACAGTACTGGAGGCCCTGCAGCAGGTAGGTGCACCTCCTGCCTGGCCCTGGGCCAGCCTTTCCTCCACTGCAGCATCTCTTTCTGATTCCCAAATCATACTCTCTTGTGGATCTGAGCTTTAGCTGATCCTTTTCCTTTACAGTACTTCTTTTGTGGGAAAGGTAGAACTTGGGGCAGGGAGGGAGAATAGCTTCTAAAAGAAGGTTGTAGTTTGGCTGTTTGTTTCTCTTGTGAATGGTGAATGGGGAGAGCCATGGCCATTGTGCTATATCTTAGCTGTCTAAGGTGGAGGACTGCCTCCCCCCTCCCCCCTCTGAGCCTTAGATTCTGTTTTCAGCTGATTAGAATAACACAGCCGGAGCTGATTCAGACCCACAAGTCTCAAGAGTCACAACTGTCTGAGGAGTCCAAGCCAGCCAGCAGCAAGTCCCCCCTTGTGATGGAGGCAGGCAGGGCCCCAGTGACCTCCGAGGGCACCCACCCAGGTACTTGGTTGGGAAGGGGTTGGAGGCCTCTCATGGGCTTCGGAGCCATCCTCATGGCTTGTCTTGGGAGGTCCAAGTAAGAACTAGTTTTTTTGTATGTAAGTACTTGGAAAGTGGTGCAGAGGTTCCTATGGGAGGCCTGAAAGCCCAATGCCCATGGCTCTGTCCCTTAAGAACATAGGAGAGTTGTCCTTCCCTATAGGAAGGACACCTATAGGGCTGGGGATTTAGCTCAGTGGTTTTGGCACCTGCCTTATAAGCGCAAGGTCCCAAGTTCGATCTCTGGTACCAAAAATAAAATAAAATAAAGGGCACCTATATAGGGTTGCCATCACCCCAGGCCCCCTGAGCCCTCTGTAAGGTACCCTCCTTGTTTTCTGTAGAGATTTTTTTTTTTTTTTTCCTGCCTCCCCGCTTTTTTTGCCCCATCTCATTCTTCCCCTAGTCTTAGTGTGGGACTGTGATTTAGAGCTTGCTTCTCCCTTT